TTGCCTTAACATTTCCCAACTTGGTGACTTCCTTCTTGGGACCTCCCTATCTTCACAATAATAGGAGATACCATTTAATGAATGAATGGTGGTCATTGTGCTCGAATTAACCCACACAACTCCAAGCAGCATTAGCCCCATCTTGCAAATGAGGAAATTGGGACTTAGTAACTTACATAATTCATCCAGATATAAACAACTAGAAGAAGACAAAATGGGGGTTCAAGAACAGGTAGCTGATTATGAAAAACAAGTCCCCACAACTATAAAATGCTGCCTTCAACCTAGCCTCATTATGCTCCCTGCACCACATAGTTTCCCGAAAGCTTTCCAAAATGCAAATCTGGTCATGTCACTTTCCTGTCTTAAACATTTCAGCAGGAATTTTATTTTTGGATAGGATTTAATAGGTACTGGCAGGCCATTCATTTCATTGCACCAGATTGGGGGGGGGGGGGGACAACCAAAAAATAAAATAAAATAAAAAAGAAAAGAACAAAAACCCCTGGTAAATTACAGAAATAAATTTTTAAAGCCATCAAAGGGCTTTGGGAAAAAAAGATGATTAAATTAAAATTCTAGAGGTGGTAGAACCTTCTTAGATGAGCTGAGATTACCAAATATTTTCTTCCCCCTGGGGACTTATCATGTCTGGGCATTTCTGAGAAACAGGCTTATCACAGACAGAGAGACTACCCTCAGGGAAAGTAAAATTAGAAAAGCTTTTAATGACTGTGTGGGTTGGTGTGATGGTTTGAAATCTAGAGAAATGTCTTAGCTGTGGCCAGTGCTCGCCGTGGGATGCGTCCTGAGTGCTGGGTGCAGTGGGGGGTGGGAGATTGGACTGGGGGGGCAGAGCGGGCTTTCCTGCGGTCTTGTCTACTTAGGCGACAACATCCCACGAAAGGGAGAGGTCTAAAATCAACAGCTATTTGACATTAGACATAGACTCAGTATAACTAAAGCTGTAACTCAGCACTGGCCAGGCTCAATTTCTAGTTGCATTAATGTGTTTGGCTTCTCATGCTCTCTGTGGAACTGAGGAAAGGGTAAACTATCTCTGGGGAAAAATAACATTGATTTCAGTATCTATAGATTTTTCGTACATAATTTCTGTCACATAATAAAAATCGTACAAAAATTACAGGGCTTGCAAAGAAGAAGGAAAATAGACATTAGAAGCAGACACAAGGATCATATAAATATGTCAGCAGGCCAAGACTTTAAAATTACTAATGGGGGAAAAAAGGAGAAACATCTGTAACAAAAATAAATTAATTAAAAAAATAAAATAAATTACTATCATAAATATGTTTTAAAATACAGAGAGAAAATTTGGACAAATTGGATGGAAACATGAGTACTTTCAACTGAGAATTAGTATTTATATAGATAAATATATGCAAATGACTTTATAGAACCGAATATATATGTATGCAATATCTGAAATTAGAAACTGATCGCATAGGTTTAAAAGCAGACCGGCAAAAGACAGGACCCGTGACTGCAAAGACAAGTCAATGTGAAACATCCAAAATGAAGTCCAAGAGGAACCACAGTGGAGAGAAGAAAAGAACATAGGGAAACTTTGTGATATAATGGAAGTCCAAAATGTGTGCGATTGCAATCCTGGAAGGACAGAATAGTGGGAATTTTAAAGAAACAATATTTCAAAAGATAATGGCTGAGAATTGTCCAAAATTGAAGGTACATTCAAGAATTTCTATCATCCCAAGCAATATAAATATAAAAATGTACTTATACCCATTATGATAAAAATTCCTGAAAACCAAGGATAAAGAGAAAAACCTTTAAGCGAACAGAAACATATTAAATTCAAAGAAGCAATAATATTATGAGCTGGATTTTTAAAAAGACTATAAGAACAAGGAAACAATGGATGTTATCTTTCAGCAGTTGAAAAAGAAAAAAAAAATCCTGCTATCTAGAGTTTTAAACACAGTAAAAATATCTTTCCAGAGTCAAAAATAAAATAAATGCACAGTTAAGACACATAGAAGCTGGGAAAATGACTCATCAGCAGCTCCACGTTATAAGAAAAATTACAGAAAATGCTTCAGACTGAAAGAAAAATCTCAGGTGGAAACCTAGTACCACAAGAAGAAATAAAGAGCACAAGAAGGAATATTGTAACCTCTAGAGTGATCATTAAAAGAATAATATAAAAGAGATATAAAAACCAAAGAATTAATAAAAGATCTATAATGGGGTAATTCAGAATATTTGATTTAAACATTTTAATGGGTTCCTCATTTCTGGTAAAATAATTGCCAAGGTCCTTAGCAAACAGTAAACTAAAAATATCACCCCCCTTTCTGCTTACCTGAGTAAGACTGACATAACGTTTAATATTCAACTCTGGTGTAATCTGGTTTCTTGGAAAAGCCAGCTATGAATCTCCATGTGGTCTCTGTCTCTACCATGGAGTGCTTATCTCTATCATAGCCCTTGCTGCAAAACATAATTGTTTTTTATCTGTCTTATTTTTCAAACAGTTTTCAAGATTTCTGAAGGCTGGGCCTCTCCATGTTAGCTCTGTGTCTCTGGTACCCAGCACAGGGTCTAGCACTCTGTGTGATATTGTCACTCAATGTCTACCTTAGGAAGGGTTAAACACATGAATAAGCAAACAGTATGTCCGTATCAGCTACTGAAGACCTTGTGATAGTATTACACAGAGCGTGTTACAATCTTCTTCCATCCTCCAGACCTTTATTTCTAAATAGTGACCAGAGCCTCAAACTCAACACATTCCAGACTCCACTGTCCTGTTGTGTGTCAAACTCAGTTAACCTGTCACCATCCGAAGTCAGCCATGGCAGCCACCTTGGAGAGAGCTGGACTTCTGCCCGACTTCATTCCTGATGTCTTTCCTTACGTTACTCCTTCAACATTGTCTCTCTTTTCTCCTCCCTCACTCTTCGAACTCCTATTCATTCTAAACCCCAGCTCAGATGTTACTTCCACTCTGAATTCCTTCCTCTGCCACAGGCAGACTTAATCTGGCTTCTCCCGTGGGCTTCACAGAGCCTCATCTGTGCGGTCACCTGTCATGCATGCTGTCGTCCTCCTCAGTTTGCCTCCGTCTCTCCCTCAAGGTGGTGAAATAAAATGTTAGATTAAAAAGGAACTATTTTCGACCAGCTGGTGTGGCTCAGTGGTTGAACATAGACCCACGCACCAAGCAGTCACTGGTTCGATTCCCGGTCAGGGCACATGCCCAGGTTGTGGGCCTGCTCCCCAGTGGGGGGCATGCAGGAGGCAGCCAATCAATGTTCCCTCTCATGGATGTTTCTCTCTCTCTCTCCTTCTCCTTTCCTTTCTCTCTAAAAGCATTACAGAAAAAAAATTTTTTGAAAGGAATATTTTCACTTGCAGAGAAGAAAAGGAAAGAAAAATTTAAAAGCAAATGAGAAAAAAACATCTTTTCAAAACTGTGTGGAAATTTTGAATGAACAAATCCAGGAGGAAATAAATCTGCGTGCCCTGCAGGGGAATCCACCTGTGGATGAAGGAGAACGTCCAAGGCTCATCCCAGAGACAGGCATTCACAGGGCCGAGGAGAGGGGTTCGCTGCCTGACTCACCAGCCCTGGCTTCCTGCTCCCCAGTTTCTGAAGGCGTCGCCCATTTCTCTGGCCTCAGCTCTGGCTCCCTCGGCTCCTCCTGGGTCGTGCCCGGTGCCTCGACTGTCTCCCACTTTGTCTTAGCTCCCTGGAGCCGTCCCGTCTGTCCCCACATGCTCTTCGTCTGTGCCTCCGGAGGACAAGAGGACTCCCCGTATTTCCTCTTCCAGACGAATCACCCTGAGGAACACGACAGGATGACAGACTGAAGCCCTGTCAGAGGCGCGACAGGTTATGTTATGTCCAGGCCGAATGTGTGTGGAGTCATGTTTTTCAAAGAAATGAGCAGGAGCCACAGAGGACCCCCAGGAGAGCAAATAAATGATGATGAACTTAGAACCGAGAAACTCTGAGCAAGACGACGGAAGTGATAGAGTTAGACTGGAAACCGGCGATGAGGAAGCCCACCGGGCCCCGTTACAGAGCCTTTAAAAAGATACAAGCACGTGCGCCCAGCTGTGCCCCCTGACCCCGTGAGCCGGGGGGGCCTGGACGGCCTCCCACGCCTGCCTCCCGCCTGCCTCCCGCAGGGGCGGCTTTCTCAAGGATGCTGCTGAAGCCCCTCCCGGAGGATTGAGAAAGTTCAGAAACCACAGATCCCCGAAGATGGTGGGAGTGTAGACGGAGGGTTAGTACCAGCTGAAACGTGCACTTTCCATTCACTGTTTTCAATGAGTCCCCCCAGTGTCCAAGGGCTCTCCCGGGGTCTCACTGAGGTTCGTTCAGGTGCTGTCTGCCCCCGCAGGGCCCTTCCTTACGGGCAGCACTTTTGTACAGAAATCATCCTTCAAATTCTTAGAAACTCAGAAGCCTGTAAATCTGAACACCAGCATTCTTTCGCACATCTTGTTTCCAAATCTTGTTTGTATTTCGTTTGTATTTCCCCAGTTCCGCTTTCCCGCCTCTCACCCTGCCCGGCTGGCACTGCAGCCCGAGTCTTTAAGACAATCGTTCTGAGTAGCCTCCGTTTACCGTGTTTCACAGGAAAAGACTAAAACCAGACTGTCAGAGACTCTGCTCCAACGCAGTCTCGTGATGTCTCTTTCTCAGGGACCGTGTTGAACACTAAGACCGTTTGGAGGGAAGGCTTCCCATCCATGGCGACTCACAACACATCTTCATGCATTCTGGCTTGAGAAAAGGGACAAAATGAAAAGATTCTTTTGATGTACCCTGCGTGTCGGCCGTCCTTTCCAGGAGCACAGATCAGCAGCCGAGCTATAAATCCTGACAGTCAAACCACACTCCATTTCCCTGCAACCTAGAAAGCAAACCTGTCGCTTTCACTTCCACCTTATTTCCCTGACTGGCTGAGTTTCACAGGCAGGGAAGCGTGTGAGGGGTGCGGACTTACTCTCGGGGAGAGGTGGGGGCGCTGGACGGTGGGCACACGCCTCCTCCGGCTGGTCCCTGAAGTATTTCTCAGGGTCTAGAAGAAGAGCCGGTTTCTGCACTTCAGGTACTTTCTTCAGGGCTCCGATGCTTAATGACCTAAAGACACCTTCACAACGGCAGGTTTAGGGGAAGACAGAAGTAAAGGTACCGGATCAGAAGGAGCCAGCACATTTCCAAGTTCACTTTTTAAAATTTAACCTTCCTGTGACTCAGCTGGTACAACTGCCGTCATCAGCAAACCCTGTAAACACAGCTGTTCACGATCAATCCGTGGTCCCTCCATTCAAAGGGACCGAAAGCAACCCAAGGCTCCCCATTCATTTATTTTTTATTTTGTACTCTTTTGCTATTTTCCCTTGAAAATGAGTATTCTGCGGTGTTGGAAAAGCTCCAGTTTCTCTTTTATCTGTAAGAAAATTGTATCCTTTGTACAGGAAATCTATTTTTTTTTAAGCATTTAATTTAACAGCATCTCTAAATGTTTGGATTTGCAGGTCCTTTCTCATTTTGCTGACACGTACACCAGAGCTGTGTTATTGTGCTTATGATGTGGACAATGAGATGATAGGGAAGAAAGTTCTTTTAATCACACCCTTGAAAGCAAAGTCTTGGACAAAGTGAAAACATTTTCTTTTGGTTTCACGGGATAAATGGATAATAGATGGAAGCCTACAAAAGCTTAATTCAAGATGTGATTTTGTTTTTTGGATTGTTAGCTCTGCAGAGGTGGGGACTGTGCTTTTGTCTTGTGGTGGCTCGGGGTCTAGATAAAGGAAACTCATACAGATTCAGCACCTGCTATGGGACAGGCCCTGTGCTGTCCGTGGTTCTCGACCTATACAGGCTTCAGAATCACCTGGGGGGCTTGATGAAGCATAAACCAACTACTATGCGCCACTTTGCTTCTTATTTAGCAGGGTAGGGGTGGGACCCAAAATTTACATGTCCAAGGTGGAGGTGATGTTGATGCTAATAGGCCAGAGAACAAAGTTTGAGAAACAATGTGTTATGTCAAACCAAAGGAGAAAGCTTCACAACCTGTCAAATATTGAGCCCTTCCGACAGGTAAGGAAAGAGGAGGGGCCGAAGATGCTTGAGTAATTTACCTGAATTCACACAGCTTGTAAACAGTAGACCTTGGACTTAAGCCCCAGTGAGTTTCACTCCAAAGGTCATGCTCCAAGGTATAATAACAACAATAAAAATAATAACATTGCTAATAAAACTGCACTGAGTTTCTATGACATGCCAGGTTCTGTTCTAAGTGCTTTACATGTAAAATCTCTTGTAATCCTGACAAAAATCCTATGGAGTAGATTAGTTTATAAATGTGCATTGAATATTAACAAATAATGATGTACCTTTTGACAGCAAAATTTCAACCCAAATTCTGAAATTAAAATATCTGCTCTATGAAAGTGCAGTTTCCCCTTGGACATAAGTAGGGGAAAAAATGTCATAGTGTGTGATATAATCTCATTCTTTGATGGAGCTTTGGGAATGATTTTCACTACACTTCTTTTTTGTTGAATTTATTGGGGTGACATTGGTTAATAAATTTATACAGGTTTCAGGTGCACAATTCTACAATACAGCACCTGTATATTGTACTTTGTGTTTATCACCCAGTCAAGTCTCCTTCCATCGCCATTTATCCCCCCTTTACTGTCTTCCACCGCCCCCGCCCCCTTCCCTCTGGAAATCACCATAGCGTTAAACAATACACTTCAGTATAATAACTATTCTTTTGTTTCAATTATTTTTTATTAACCAGTAACTAATTCTGTGTGGCTTTGAGCTTCCTAAGAGCAATATTAGTTTTTATTCATTTTCATCTCTAAACACTTGCGGGAAAGAATTAACATTCTGTGTCAACTCCCCTTTGGGAACTATAGTGGGCAGCGTACGTGTTTTCTGGCTTAGATCTTACACTGCTGACACTTGTGTGCTGTGCAGCCCTGGGCAAGTCACTCAATGTCTCTGAGCCTCACTTTCCTCCTTGGTTAAGTGGGAACACAGGACCTTACTTTCAAATTTATTAAGGAATACCAACATTCCTGGCACAGAGTAGCTACTTATTCATATCAATCAGTAAAACAATAACACTATAAAAATATATCAGTGGTGATTACTTACTAGACGAGTTTTGTATAACTTCACTGTTATAAAGGTTATGCATTTTTTTCTTGTATATATTTCTCTCCTTATATTTTATACCTAAATGTATGACTTCTGATGGTCTGACACTGGAAGAAAATAATTCATGGTGAAATAAAATTAACCACAAAGGATAAACAAACACATTCTGGCTATCAGTACATCTCTTACATAGACAACAAAAAATCTCTACCCTGTGGACCTAAGCAGCGACATTCGTTTACACCAAACAAGCCAAACCTTTGAATATAATGCCTGCCAGCTATGTGATAATACAAAATGGTACTAGCTAGAGAGGCCGAGAGGCTAAAGCAAAGACCCTGATCTCATCACAACGGGTGGGTCAGAGAAAAGGCTGTGCGGAACATTTCACAGAAACACACACTATACCTGCCCTGCGTGCCAACTGCTGGGATACTCTGTGGGGTGTCAGACCCTCCTGTTCAGTGTCAGCCCTATATCTTCATTTATGGTATACAAAATCCAGAAAAGTTTGGCGTATTATGAGAATTCTCACATAAATCTATAAGGAAATTTTAGACTATCTTGAATCCAATGAAAATAGTTTTACCAATAAAACATTGAGAGTGAAGTCATTATATGGTTGTATGTAATTCCAGTCGGGACACACGAAATGGTCTCAAACCCATTTAACACTCACTGTCACAGGCCTCAGCCTTACTAGTTACACTTTTTACTGCCAACATCTGACTCCTTAGCTTGTTCTGCACCACAGCATTTTCTCAGACTCTCCTTGTATTTTGTGACCTGAGAAATGTTCAGGAATACTTGTCAGATTTTTTTTGTTGAATGTCCCTCAATTTGGATTTCTCTGATGCTTTTCTTATGGTTAGACGGGATTCTGGGATGTTGGGATGAAGACAACAGAGAAGTGCTATTCTTACCATGCCTTATCCAGGGAACACACTATCAACCCTACTTACTGCTGTGCATGTTAACCTCCTCGTGGCCAAGGCTGTGTTTGTCAAGTTTCTGCACTGGCTTTTAAAAGTTATTTTCCCCGCCCTGGCCGGTTAGGCTCAGCGGTTAGAGCGTCGGCCTGCGGTCCAGATAGACCCAGATTCGATTCCCGCTAAGGGCACATACCTTGGTTGCAGTTTGTCCCCGGCCCCGGTTGGGGTCGTGTGGGTGGCAACCGGACAATGTGTCTCTCTCACATCAATGTTTCTCTCTCTCTCTCCCTCCTGCTCTATCTAAAGATAAATGCAAAAAAAAAAAAAAAAAAGTCCTCGGGTGGGGATAAAAACTAAATTAATTAAAAATAAATAAATAAAAGTTATTTTCCCCTTTCTTTCTATACACTCCTCTCTGGAAGCAAGTTTCTCAGCATGGTGCACACTTAAGGGGGGCAAGATGGGGAACTCTACTGCCTCAGTTAGGGGGAGTATCTACATATGTTTGTTGGAATTATAAATGATTTTTCTTTAGGAAATCTTTGCCATCCAAAGACAGATCAAGTGGCAGTTTTCCCAGAATACACTGGGATGGCCTCCCTCATGACATGGATCTCCTATGAACAAGGACATATGGTTTAGCCACTACCTGGGCTTTCAACACAAGGATGATGGTATCATTAGAGAGTCATTCTAAGATAGTAGGGGATCTATAACAATGAGAAGTTGGTGGCAGATAGAAGAAGAATAGAGTGTGATGCCATTAGGTCTTGTAGTTATTAGGTTGAGAACTTTTTCCCCAGAAAACTACTATTGGAATCAATTGAGGTACAAAAGATTGAGGCAGACCTAGAAGGAGTGAGGTCAATCTTTTGACTAGTTCACACCAGGCCTTGATTTTTCCCCAAACACCCTGAACTCTTTCCTGCCTGTAGACCATTTGCTTTCTCGCCCAGTGGAATTTAAATCAAATATCTTTTGTATAAAGCAAAAGACTTTGCCTATCTCCACTAAAAAGTTGAAGCTACAGAGGGAGAGAAGTAGGCAGAGGGTAGGAGAGAATCTCCTGGGAATCACAACAAATTGCACCACTTAGATGGCTGCCCAGGAAATGGGGCTGCATTGATCAAGCTCCAAGGCACAGAGCAGCTCTGTGAACGGCCAGACTGTGGGTTTCACTTCATATTCAGAGGCCGGCTCATTGTTTATTTTCCACTCAGGGGAGTGGTCACTACGAAAATGCACAGGGAACTAGAAAGAGGTGAATACTTCCAGAAGTCCAATTCCTAATGGGTGAAGACAAAGAAGCAGAAGAATGTGAAAAAGGGATTAGAGTTTAAAACTTTTTGCAAACATGTCTTACATGGGACACAGTAAAGTGGGTCTACTATACTCTGGGAGCCTTGCTGTCAGTTCTGTGAGAAGGAAAAGCTGTAACTGACCTCTCCTATCTGGGTCCTGAATGCAGAGGGAGGAATGGTGTGAGAAACCCCCCAGTGCCCTACTGGGCATTAAAGGAAAGTGAAAATGCCAAGCAGTGCCTTACACACAGCAGATACTTGGAACAGTATTCGATCACTTGACTCAGAAACCAATAGCTTTTCAAGATTTTCACATAATGGTTTGGGACAGGCAGTATAGAGCAGTACTGGTAAAGTGTACTGACTCTGGAGCCAGAAGGACTGCTTTGGGGTCCCTGGTCCACCTCTCACTGGTTGGTTGACAAGGGGCCAATCACTTAACCTCTGTGTGCCTTGCTTTCCTAGTTGTGAAACTGGGATCATAACCGTAGCTATCTCTGAGGATTACAGTGACAATGAAATGAGTTAAACACATAAAGACCTTAGAACAGTGCCTGGAATATGGTAAGAGCTCAATAAGCATTGGCTACTATCACTTTAAGAAAAAAATAAGACAGTATTTTGTACTCAAAGCAGAGAGTTCCTATACTCCCTACAGCCAGTCTTAATACTTCCAGGAACTACCAGAATGGTCAGACAAAACAATAAGTATATACAGCATTACAAAAATAATAATTTTCTGTACAAGTATTTTTAAGACTTACATTTCAAAAATTGAGTAGGCTTTCATCTATTATACCTGGGGCATATGATAGTTATTGCCATAGATTATTGGTGAAAGTAGACTGTCAATCCTCCAAGTGTTTTATGTCGGATAAGACCTGATTTAAGTGATATTTAATGTTTTGTATTTATTTTATAGTTGTCCATAAATTTTCCAATTTAATTTCTCACATAAGATCTCTGGCAGAATAATTAGGTAATCAATAACATATAAATAATATTAAATATCAGTTCTCTCATTACCATAATATAGAATTTAGAACATAATTATTTCACGTATTTAAAAAACATTCATTTTAATTCTGCCTTCTGTCTTATGTACTGAGAAATTAATGGAAATTTCTGTTTCACTTCCTATCTGATTTTTAAATTCTGGTTTCTAATAATTAACCCTATTGCCGAAAGCTACTTTTTTTAACAGTAGCCAAAGGAAATTTTATAGATAAAAGCAGGTAGAAAAGACTTACTCTTTGTTGTTCTAAAATAAGAATAAAGGTCAATGAAAGAGACCTCTACAAATGGATGGATTTGACTTTAGAGCCATTCTAGAATAGAGTGGTTCAAAAACAGAGATGGTTCCCTGTGACAAGGTGAGCACCTCCCACAGCGGCTATTCAAGAGGAGACTGGGCTATGCTTCTCTTAAGGTTGCCACGGGACTTAGTTTCATAGACTTCTGATATCTCTTTCAACTTCATCATTGAATTATTAAAGGTTAGTAAGCATGTGAGGAAAAAATCTTCACTTCTACAAACAAGTAACAAATGAAAGTTAAAACAATAATGAAGGATAATGACAATAGTTCTAAGACAATGACAATATCCAGTGTTGGTTCAGTGGCTGCCATTTTCATCCATGCTGGACAGAGAGCCTATGAGTAGGGTCAGCAATTTAGCAAAATGACCCAAGAGCCCTTAAACCTCTTGACTCAGCAACTCCAGTTCAAAGAATTTATTCTAATGTTGAATTGAGCTCAGCATGCTAACAAACGCACATAAAAGTACTTAAAGAAGAAAATGGTTAAAACCCCACAGGATACACTCCTAGGGAGTCATTAATGAATGTTGATGTCTGTGGACATGGATATTAAAAATACAGAAATAAACTTGAGTATATTTTTGAGTGATAAAATATTTCATAAATTATGTATACCAAACCCTCATTTTTATAAACTGTACATTTATTTATTTGCATAAGTATGCCCAGAACAAGCCTGGAGAGTGAAATTCTTGCATTAGCAATGGCTTCGCTACAGGTGATTTCTTTTCATCTTCTTCTTCTTGCTTATTAAAATGTCCCCCTAATGAACATGCATTATTTTCTATTAAAATAATTTAGAAATTATAACATCAGAGTATTTTTATCTATGTTTTTTAGATTAATTTTGAGTCCAGAAACCATATATTGCCATAAATTAAGAAAAATGCATATCCACTATAGTTTTCGCTGCCAATTATATCCTTTTATTTATGTCTTCTTCTTCTTTTCTTTTTTTTTCCTTTTCTAATGGTAAAGTGATTTTTGCAGAACCTAAGGAAGGGCAAAATCTATTCTCTGTATCAATTGTTAACAGCATTAGGACTTCTTTATTGTCTTAAACTCTATATTCATCTTCATCTCCCTAGGGCTTAAATAGAAGATGACATTTTACCACCTACCTACTTCTCAGAAATAATATTATAAAATACCTTAAGCATTATAGGAAACTGGTATTTATGTATAAAACAGAAAATAATATATGCCAAGATTTTTATCCTAGAAAAAAAATCTTAGGAGCTAAAATGAGAACACAGTTTTAAATTTTTCCTCATTTTTCTTGCTTCTCCTATTTTTATATTGGCTTTTTCTTTTGCTTCTCCATATTTCTTACTGCTTCACCCCTCCATCTAAACATACTGCCACCTGCATACCCGTATACAGAAAGTGTTTTTCCCCCTTTCGTCTCTTTAAATTCTTTTATATATTTCTTGCTTATGTTTGCATATGGACAAGAACTGGCATGACTTCCTCCTTGGATTTGCTAACCTGGTTAGAAAAACAGCATATTCTTCAGCATAATATTTTGTTAGGGAGAAAACACTCTGTAGTCTCCGGTATTGGACGGAGGCCATGAAGAACATTTTACAGCTGACACTGTCAGTGCACCTGGGTGTTTTCCACACAGGCTTCCTGGGAGAAGTGAAGGATCTACCTGACAAGTCAATTCTGAGGATACGTTTTTAGCCATTTTCTTTCAATTTGTTCAATAATTGTCAAATGACATTATTCTGTACTATCTCATAACTACAAAGTCTTAAAATCGTTTCAGTCCAGTCATCTATATTAAATAAAGGCAGACATTTTAAAGATCACAGGTATTTTTTTGATGTACTGTCATTTGACAAGATACAGTACAATAGAGCTAAGTTTGCTTCATAATGCTGGAAATTTCTCCCAAGGCCTACAGAAACTTGCAACCAAGGTGAAAAGATCACTCTGCTGTCCACCTATTTAATCTGGCAGAATATAAGCTCTAGTTTTAAGAGAAATCTGTGAATTTAAAAACCTACATATCAGCACTAATTTACGTAACACAAAGTGTCATGCAAAAATAGGAAATGTAGTAAGATAAGATAGAAGTCAAGAAAGAAATAACCACACCAAATCACTAATTTTTAACTCAAAGGAAAGGCTGATTAAAAACTAATAATAACTGCTTGTCCAATGTGGCTCATTGGTTGAGTGTCGACCCATGCACCAAGAGGTCGCTGGTTCGATTCCCAGTTAGGACACATGCCTAGGTTGTTGGCCAGATCCCCCAGTTAGGGGCATGCAGGAGGTGTCCAATCGATGTTCTCTCTCATCGATGTTTCTATCTCTCTCTCCTTCTCCCTTCCTGTCTCTAAAAATCAATAAAGAAAAAAAATACATAAATAAATAAGAATAACTGAGTTTGTCAGGAGGAAGGGGAAACTAATATGTTGGCAGAAAAGTCTTAAACAGGAACGTGTAATACTTGCCTTTACTCTGTTAGGGTATGACAGGAAGAGAAACAATGAGCTATCTGTGTTATCCTGGGGTAACTTTATTTCCTGATCTATAAAATTGAGTTGGATAGCTGGGTGGGGACACTTTGTCATAGCTAAAGTCTTTCCAGTCCCAGAATTCTATTATTGTACAGGATTGGTCATGCTATATTTCTAAACTGAAAAGATCATTCCGCTTGAAAGTAAAATGCCACTTGACATTTCAGCAAGCCATAATTCAAGGAAATAGAAGAACAAATACCAAAGTGTAATTTAGTGTAACAGGAATTTTTAAAGGGACTTTTTTCCCTTCTCCTTCCCTGTCAGCAGAGGTCCAAAAGGTCAGAAAGCAAAATAATTAAGAGGTAAAAAGCATTCCCATATTCCTAAGTGAGGTAGCTACAAAACCAACCTGGTAATACCCAGGCCAGCCACTATTCTAGGATATAAACAGCCCAAAGGTGCAATGAGGTAAGAGAGGAGAGGCGGAGCTGGTGTGCACTGGGCCACCCCCATGGGAGTGGAGGGAAGCTGCCCCTTCAGTTCTAGCCTGCACTCACAGAGACCAAAGAGTTTCATGTATGCTGCCTAATGCGGAAATCATTAGAGAGACACAGTAGACCATTGGCTCACGAATGCCTGAAAAAGCCTGTAGGTAAAATGCTGTGGCTGGTGAGAAGGGTTAGAGGGAACAACCAGGGAGCAGTTGGTGTGGTAAGAATAAATGAGCTTCCTATTGGCCAAGAAGAAGCTGACCTAAGAGGAGTCGTGTAAGAGGGAAGGCAGGCTTGCCAGTGCACAGGGACTGTAAGAGAAAAACTGTGGTGTGCATTGCCAAAGGGAACCCCAGCTGGTGGGACAGAGCCACCGGAGCCTGGCCAAAGGGCGCACTGATTAGGAAATTTGCGATGCTGAGATCCCTAAGTGGGGTCCTCAAAGACCCACAACTGTGCCCCTTTAATCTAAACTATAGACTTTAGTTAATAATAAAGTATCAATATTGGCTCATCAATTGTAACAAATGTACCACAGTAATGCAAGACACTGGGTAGGGTAGGATGAGTATGTGGAAATTGTACTTTCTGTGCAATTTTTCTATAATCCTAAAAAGTGTAATATATGCACATAGTAAAAATTTTCATTTGTGTCAAAGAATAAATCCTGCTTTCAAAATGTAATAGTTGTTTAGGATGAATGGTAAAATTAAGAGAGCAGGGGTTAGCAAAACTACAGGAACCAAAAGAAATAACTGCAGCTGCCCGGCATGAGAGCGAGGACTGTGGGAACAGGATCCAGCAGAGTGGAGCACAGAGAAGAGCTGCTCGGACAGCATGAAGGACAGGCTGGAAGCATTAAAAGGAGAGTCGGGTCTAACAACCAAAGTTAACCTTTTAAACTTCTGTCATATAACCTTCTGGGAACCTTACCAAAACCAGGCATAAAACCTGACATATATTCGAGACAGATACGTACATGCACACATATACACATATATTGTTTTTGAAGAAAGGAGCTGATTTCCACAATTAGATTGTCGATGGAGCAGAAACAAAGGACTGGAAGACACTGAACAAAAATCAACAATTCAATAAAGACAAGAAATAAGAATCACATATAACTCTGAGGACATATATTCTCCCCCTGCCACACACAAACTTACTCATCCCCCAAATTTTACAGAAATCTTAAGGTAGTCATTGGACAGTGCACAGACTACAGAAGGAAGTCTGGGCCAATCTTACCCAGGTCTTATCTGGACTCCACTTAAAATTACTTACTTGCATGTTGACTCGTCTTTGTTCCCCTTATCAAGTAGGGAATGTTCTGTTGGGTCTAAACATGATTCCTCCTTAGAAAGTAAAGGAATTTCCTTTATGCTTTCTTCTTGAATCTCACTTTCCATTAAATTGTTATCCTTCTTTGGGAGAGGAAAACAGCTTCGGATTTGCCAATGCTTTGCCTGTAAAAAACAGAGATTTATTTTATTTGTATAATTTTTTCCTTGAACATTTATATGCTATACTACTAATGAAAGTCCTGGGGACACACACACAATAAAAGAACAAGACATGTTTTCTGTTCTCAAGAAACTTACAGTTTTATTAGGGAGATAAGACATATACATGTAACTTTAATAAAGGTAGAAAGTGAGTCATAAGAAACAAAAATTTCCTGAAAAGATGATAAAGAACTACCAAAAAATGACATTCTTTCTTTTTTTATTTATTATTATTATTTTTAATCCTCACCCGTGGACATTTTTACATTTATCTTCGGGGGGGGGAACGGGGGGGGGACAGAGAGACATCAATTGGTTGCCACTTGCACAACCCCAACCAGGGCGAGGGACAACTGCAACCCAGGTACGTGCCCTTGGCTGGAATCGAACCCGGGACTCTTTGGTCTACTGGCCAATGCTCTAACCGCTGAGCAAAACCGGCCAGAGCTGAAATTCTTACTTTAAAATCCTGAAAAGCAAAATGTATATTTACTAAAAAGAAAAATAAGGCTTCTTTTTAAGAATCAGCAGAGTTCATTTTAACTACTTTCCATCTCATTGCCTAAGACTATCTTGAACGTCAGTCCAATTATTAAGCTTTTTTCACAGAAAATATGTGTTATATAATAGCTTTAACAGATCTTGGCTTTAATTCTTTTTTTATTTATCCTCACCCGAAGACATTTTTGCATTTATCTTCAGATAGAGTGGGAGGGAAAAAGGGAGAAAGAGAGAAAGAGAAATATCGATATGAGAGAGACACATAGAGTGGCAGCCACCCGCACGACCCCAACCGTGCCTGAGACAAACTGCAACTGTGGTATATGCCCTTAGCAGGAACTGAACCCACGACTCTCTGGTCTGTGGGCAGACGCTCCAACCGCTGAGCCAAACTGGCCAGGGCTTGGCTATAATTCTTAATATGTATCCATAGAGCAAAAGCTCCCAATGACCATCTGTTTTATATTTTAAATACAGAACTGATTTCCTTGTCTTCTATCAATTCACCGTGTACACACAGGAATGCACCAGAGGACACAGCAGTGTGACAGGAAGGTAACATCAGGCATCCCCAGGATATCGGACTGGCCTACAAACTGACAACCTTGCCAGAAGGGTGTGCAAAGTGAAATGCCGACAGGGGCCAGGAAGATGACATCAAGGCTCATAGAAGATGATCAACAGCAAATGAAATTCAGCCTCAGGGAATTAGAGATAATCCATTTTACAGCTACTCTCAGGGAATGACGTATGTTCTTTTTCAAGAGAAACAAGAAATCTGGATCTTACATGAAATCTTTTCATTTTTAAATGTGGGCAACTAAATCAAATTATCAACACTGGGTGAATAGGCACAAGGTCACCGGCCCCCTTGAGAAGGACAAGAGGCGCCAGCAAACAGGCTCCGCCCAGTCCAGCTGCTGAGTGCTTATGGAGGCACAGAAGACATGCGCACAGCATCTGACTCCTTTCCACCCCACAGCCGCCTGACAGTTGCCTGGGATAAATGTATCTCTGTGGTTAAATCATCTCCACTTCCATTTCTCCAGCTCTAGATGTAGACATACACAACTACTCACTTTTTTTATTAATTTATTTTTATTACAGATGTTTCTCCTTTTGTCCCCATTGACACCCTCCTCACTTTTAAAAAACCTAACTTGAAAAGCAGTCTCCAATCAATAGCTACGCGGTAAAAGTGATTCACAGTTATTAAAAAAAATTTTCTTTCATGAAATATATAGAATCCTATTGCATTAAATTTTAAATACTTTAATCAGCCTGTATGTGATTCAAAAATTAAGTCTTAACGTGGGAAATTAAAATATAGTAATGCTTTACTCCTGTTTTTATAACTGCTAGACCAGAAGTAATTCAACTAAAAGACAAATGCTCATTCAAATGTAGGGTAAAAGTCACTATGCTTTACCAATCAAGTTTGTTCAGTGAAAATTGTTCCGATCCTAGTTTTATTTACTAACAGGCTCTCGCCTTACCTACATATTACCATCGGCCTCCCATACCTTGCTATAAAAGGGTGTCTCCTCTTACACACTCTGAGAAGGACATTCACTGTGGTTATTCTCTAGTATCTGCTAAGTTTTGTGTTCCCATTCTTTCTCCCTCCCTTCCCCTTTCCTACTCTGGTCCCTTGTATCCGTTGGGACTGGCAGGACCCATATGCAACACAGTTTGATTTTTTTTAAATGTCTTTAAAATAAGCTCAAGCAGAAGAGACTAGAAAACAGCTGTCCCTGCTTTGCCAGACTTTGCTTAGTAAAACTATACCATCTCTGGTGACTCTTTTTCTGTCTTCAACAGCAGAAGGAAAAAAATCTTTTCATGCAGGCTTTTGGGGAATGTGGTCCTTCAAAATAAAAGAACTTTACCAACAACTAAGGAAAAATATCAAAGACATAGAAATGAACAGTTTTACTAGCATATACTTCTTAATTAAAATTTAGACACAGACTGTGTTCAGTGGGCACAGTTTATACAGAAGTCTTATTTTTGCTTCAGCCTCATCTATGAGACTTCTTATATTCCAGATGTCACCTGCTTGATGACACTTGGACTTCCTGTCACTCTAACCTCCACCTCATCTCAGGGGAACTCCTGTGGCCTGTCTGTGCAGCAATGTCGGCATTGCATTAACTTCTTCACTGCTGGAAACAGCTTTCCACCTCTTTTTGTGTTCAGAATGCCAGCGAACACACTCGGTCTCACTCATTACACACCTACCCACACACTCGTTTGAGTTCCCACTGGGATGCTGTTTTCCCTGAGAAAAGCTTAGCACTTGCCTCATTTGCAGAACAGAAGCGACTGTGCAGCTCTCGAGAGTTACACTGAGAATCCCATGCTACCTGGCCAAGGTGGGTCCGATTTACCCTCACCCTTCATGTCCTAAAGGGATGCACAGAATTCTTTCAGTGCAGACTGACATCATCAAACTGACTGCACAGACAGAGCAACTACAGACTCTGTCTTCCAACATGAAGAGAACTGCCTCCTCTCACGGCACCCGAAGAGAGTGGTACCCGAAGTTGCTGAACGCAGCCAAGTCAACCAGCCAGAAGAAATGAAGGTTTCAGGGTAACCTCACACCACCGTGTTTCAACAGTACTGGTTGAAACAGATCAAACCAATAGTTTGCTCCCAAAAGCACAAAAGGAACAAGAGTGGAGTTCCCATAAAAACAAACACAAAAAAGAACCAAGATGTGAGAAAATGAATGGTTCCTTTCTAACAGTCTCCCACTTCCATTTTTGCCCCCTAAAAATGAGAGTTTGTTTTCATAGGAGGACAGGATTAAAGCAGGAATTCTGGCATAAGCCAGCCTGAGTTCAAAGCAAAACTCTACTATTTATTAGCTTCTGTGAGCTCAGGCAATTTATTCAAACTCACCTGTAAGATAGGACTAATGAAAGCTCTTCCAAAATGGGATAGGCAACTGTGAAGATGACATGAGGTAATTCTTAGGGAGACCTTCAAACAGTGCCCCAGGAATACAGAAAGACCTCAGCATATGTTAGTTATTATTATTATATTCACAAGAGTAAACCAGATGATGAACAGCAAAGTTACAATATTCCCCACATTGTACTTCGACTCAATTTTGAAATGAAAAGAATTCACGTGTTTTAGAGGAGACATTTCTCTCGACAATCCTGGAGCAGGTTTAGCTGCACAGAGCCAACATCTTTCCCTGTCACTGGTGTCCTCCTCCAACGCAGCTGCCATGGTAATGGTAAACAGGGAAGAAGTCAGTGCTTTCATGACTAATGAACACCAAGGGCGACGAGATGCAAATGGCAATCAGCCCAAGCTTGTACTAAATGTCAAGTAAATACTACAATACTACAGAAGCAGTATTTCTACCTGACCGAAGATGCACACCGGCGCGCCGCAGACATCAGTCACGCACACGCTGCAGTCGGCCGAGGAGGACACGACCAGGGAGCTGCCGCCCGCCTCGCACATCTCCAAGGAACTGACCTGGTCTTCGTGAGGCTGGAACGATCTAATCAGGGCTGGGGCCTGTGTGATCTTGCTCTTACTAAAATTAAGACAGTACTCCTGAATGAAAAGAAATGCCAGAATTCTAAAAAGTCCAAATATTAAGTTATCACAGTGACATAACACTTTTTTTTTTTAAAAAAAGTCTGATACAGAAATAAAAAGTAGGTCTATTTGGGGACATTAATCTGTGATCCAAATAGAAAAGAATAGTTCATGATAACAGACGTTAGAGAAATGATATTAACACTCAAAAAAGGTTTCTAACTGATTTAACTAACTTGAAAAATGGAAAGAAAGAAGAAAAATGGAAAGAAAGGAGGGATGGGAAGAAAAGAATGAACAGTAAAGTCTGTTATTTGATAGAGGAGAATGTTATCATGTATAGGAAGTCACAAATCATACAATTTTATACTATTATTAGAAAATTGAGGAGGTAATTGGTAACACAAAAATCTCACATTAATTCAGGCTGATAATAATGTTAGGTGAAGGACCAGTACTCTGTTTAAATTATGTTTATAGTCTTGTTTCAAATAAGGTATATCCAAATTATTCATATTCAAACAATGACACAGTACCTTACTGACACTATTGCATTCTTATATTGGGTAATTGATGAGTATATATTAACAGAAGATTTTTAATACTAAGAAAAATCTAGTTTCTCCATAAATTATTTTTAAAAAGTCTCTGCTTAATACATGTAAATGTTTCCTTTAAAATACTCAGACTGTCAGGGGGATCACCTTGTAAGTTGTAGAAATGCCTAACCACTATGCTGTACACCTGAAACTAATATAACATTTAAAGTCAACTGTAACTAAAAAAGTTTTTTTAAATTGCTGTAAAAAATAAGTAACATGTTTTCTTTTATCTAGGAAACAGATAAGGATGCATAGTTATCTGCAACAAAAGGCAACCCAAAATAATAAAGATGATGTAGACTGTTTTCAATTCACCTCTATATTCCAGATTTTCAGCCATCCATCAAGATCTCCTGTGGTGAGGTATCGATTCGATCTATCAGTAGCCATAATGATAGATCCAACTCCACTGTGAGCCAAAAATTCTCCCAGAAGTTGCTTCTTAATTGTATCCCAGAATCTGACATACCCAGATCCTCCACACGACACCAAGTTAGCACCTCCTGACATGGAAAGGGACACCTAGTCAGGAAACTGTGACAATAATTACCAGAACCAATCTCAGCAGCTTGCCCTTTGCAAACGTGCATGTCGTCGAGATGGGTAGCCCTGAGATCCGTTTGCAGCAGTTTAATTCTCTCAAATATGAAACTGAGATAACCCTACGATGACCTCACTGGTTTATGTTGAATATTAAATAAGAGAGGATATATGAGATACTCCATTAAATTCAGTTCCCTTTCCTTCATTTATTATTTTGATATTATTTGGGTTTCTAAAATTTAGACAGAATTAACTCGTTTTTTTTAAATAAACATATCAATTGCAACTTGATAATATTCTGATCACATAAAACCCATCTTTCTTAATAACCCATTGGACACAAATAACAAAGAAGTAATCTCTGCATGCACAGATCTGGCTGGATATATGTAATGATAGCAGCGTAATTATTGATTTCTCACTATAATAGCATGCTTAGAATCCTATTTATGTGCTTATTTTACATTTTTAATCAAGAATTTACTGTAAGCTCTTATGAGACACTTTTTTGGTTCAGAGGCCTAGAACTAACCTTTTAATTTTCCATTTTTATATGCTTTGAAGAAGCACTTTACCTAAATTATTCTTCTGTGGCAAAGTTCCTATTATTATTTGATAAGCCTGTAGATGACTTTCAATTTGCTTCACAAATGTACTGCCGATTAACAATCATATCTGTTTAAATAGAAATAATAGCATGTAGCTGCTTTAGTGGAAGCAGTTGAGGAATACTGATAACATTAAACAAATTAGTCTTGAGGAAATGAGAGCAATTTCAGGATAATAGTTCATATTGTGAGTATAAGAGAGTTCCAGAAAATAGAAAGTTTTAGAATCTGTTTCAAAGTCTATTCTAAGTATCCCATAGCGCTTCTAAAGCTCTACGGGAGTACACCTTTGTCGATTTAAATGTTGGAAATATATATGTGGATATTGTGCAGATTTTCCATCTACAAATTGATTATGGAAAAGTAAAGATAGAAAACATAGTTCAGACATGTTTTTTTAAACGTATAACACATATATGTCTAGATTCCTAATGTTAAAAAAAAATACTTCTAAAATACATTTTTTAAGATAAAAAGTAAAAAAAATATATACATTATTCTCAAAGGGAGATTTTTATTTTGGAAAACGCTGATTGCATCAACACTAAGCTCACATAGGCATTAGAAACAGGGAAAATTAAGATGTTTATCTCACCTATATGATACAAAATAACCACAGTAAATCATGTGGTAGCACCCGTGTTCACATATATGTCAGCAGAAGCTCTAACCATGGCCTGCATGCACAGATGGCAAAGATACGAAAAGTGTTATCCCTTCCTCCAAAAAAGTTAAGATAAAAAGTAGTCATCTCTCTGTCCCAGGGATCGGCAGTTATTTTCAACGTTGCCTCCAATCTCCACGTTTGTCACTATTTGCTCCTAGCCCATTCTGAACAAGGTACCAGTGCCCTCAGCCTCAGACTCTGCTCAGCTGCCGGTAGACCTAAGCTTAACTCAGATATTCGGAGCATTTTTTGTTTTTTTGTTTTTTTTTTAATCCTTACCCAAGGACATTTTTCCATTTTTTGTTCAGATAGAGTGGGAGGGAGAGAGAGGAAGAGAGAGAGAAAGAGAAACATCAATGTGAAAGGGACACATTGAATGGCTGCCTTCCACATGACACAACCAGGGCTGGGGACAAATTGCGACCGAGGTACATGCCCTTAGCGGGAACCGAACACGGGTCTCTCTGGACTGCAGGCCGACGCTCTAACTGCTGAGCCAAACCAGCCAGGGCGTCTTTCTTGTTTTTTAATTTTTAAGATTAAATTTACTGGGTTGACATTGGTTAATGAAATTATATAGGTTTCGAGTGTACATTTCTATGAGACATCATCCATATATTGCATATCTCTAACTGTGCCCTCTCCCCTACCTAACCTGTTTATGTCACAGCTGCAACACCAATTCTGATTGTTGCCCATATTAAGTCACTTGCCAGAGTTTTTCTCACTCTGATGCTGACATATACAGTACTATGCACATTGCTGGTGGAGTCCAGTCTGGCTCTTGCTCTTGGACCCGTCCTCCTGAACCCTAGCCTCATTTGCTGTGAAGGCCTCCCATGGCCCAGTACTGACTGTTGGCTAGATGCAGCCGAACTCTACAAGACTGAAATACAATTGGATTGAATTCTCTTTATTGCTCTTTTTTCTAACAGTTTGCAATATATCAAAGCACTCTACAGTCACAATATAAGTACCTAGTTTACCTGTGGTTGCAGTGTGTTTTCTTGCTTCAAGGAAGCAAAGCCTCATAACAGCATTATTGCTTTCAGTGCCAGTCTCAAAGGAGCTGGCTCTCAGGGTAGCCTGGTCTGCGGTGGGGTGGCTGGCGCAGCTCCTCCCAGCACTGAGGAGCTTCTGAGGCTCTGTGTCTATGATAGAGTCAAAGCCAGGTGTGTTAATGAAGGGAAACATCTGTTTTCAAACAAATGCTTGTGAAAAACAACAGGCCCACCTTCATCATGGTCTCAGATGACCCCAATAGTCTCGCAACAGGTTTCTACTCAACACCCATCCAGCCTTCTGCTAGTCACTTCCTCAACTTCAACCTGAAGGATTGTTTGATTGCCTTTTTGTTTGCATATTCCATACACACTTCCAGTGTTTTCCCTTGATATGAATTAATAGGGACTTTATTTTATAGTCACTGCTAACATCTTAGAGATCTTGATATGTTCAAGACAAATGTGATTCTATTATCATAACATTTTCAGCTTATTAATCATTATCATTAATCTTGCAAATAATTTAATAAACATGAGACATAATTACTATTTAAATATATTTAAATGATTTTTTTCATTTTTAGCAATATTATTTATTAGCGAGTTACCTTGGAAAGGACATTCCTAATGGCATTTTGATTATCTTATGACATCACCTCCAAGCTATACTAATAAAAACTAGGGATATTCATCTTAGAATCTATGAATAGTCTGCACATAGTTATGAAAAATCTATACAGAAGTATCTTCAAAGTTGTACAGTAAGAAATCTATAGCAATGCCTCTCATGTCTTTTAGAAACTTGGCATTTCTGCTTTTCTTTGTTACCTATCTCCATGTTTTTAATTGTATCCACAGGTAGGTTTGATGTAAGATCAAGACAGTGCTCTCCTGAAGGCCAAAACAGAGGAAGAAGCAGAACTCTATCCTCTTCATGGGGGGTTCAGATGAACCCCAATGGTTAGCTTCTTATACATAAAGCAGGTGAGAGTTTGGGGCCTGCAGGCTAGTAAGTCTTAAATCTCTTACATAGATTTCTTTACTCTGATCAAATCAGTCCCTCAACTTTTCACAAAACAAAAAACAAACAACAAAAAAATACCCCACAAAATGAAAGAAAACAACAGTATCTAATGATTAGTCTTTCCCTAAGGTCCAATTCAGCCTCTGTAAGTTTATCCAATTGAGACAACAGAACCATGCTGTGTCATGAGGAATGACATATTCATTATCCGAGCAAATTAGTCTAAGGAAAAACCTTTAGTATCAAAGGAAACTAAAATAAAATATGAAAGGCAATTGTCAAGACATTTTGCTTAAGTATAAAATATTCATATGCTCAGCTAAATTCCCATAAAATACAATGTACTCCCATCTCATGCTCCCACAGGTTTCTAAAGTAAGAAATAATTTAAGATTTCCAGGTGGCATAATATTTAATACAAGCTCTAGACTGAACCTGAGCAGCCAATCAAGTGCACATGAGTTCTCGTTTTCTTACCAAGGGGTACCGAAGTTCACTCAAAGGCAATTTGGTGAGGTTTATTGGCAAATACTAAACTAGATAGAAACGAGAGGCCTGCTCCCTGCTGTCAGTAATTCAGAAACGCTGATATGGTATAAAGAGAAGGAACGGTATGCCAAGGAGAATTTGCTAAACCAAGTAAACCTCAAGAATTTTTTAGTCACTTTGACAAGACGACGATATCACTAATCCCTTGAGCTTATAGTCAATCATCTATAATTTAGGAGAAGCTGCCACAGGACATGCATAAACAATCAGGCCTACTGTGGTTTGACCCAGCCACATTACTTTAGTTTCAGACCCGCACTCACCAGATTTTGATTTTAGCAGCCGCTGGTAATCAGGGTGAAGAACAGAGTGAGCATTTTCTGTGCTGTTGTTCCACAGAATGATTTCTCCATCGTAACTCCCTATACGAACCAGAATGGAGAGCATAAAATGCTGGAAAGTCAGGGAAATCTGAGCAACGGCAATGAGAAGAAGTCATTATCATAATATCTTACATGGAATCTGGCACAGAGCAAGTACTCCACATGCTTTTGGAGAAATAAATGAATAATAATAACAACTAGTCTTTTTATTAAACTTGAGAACTTAGGGTCCTCACAATGTATGTGTGCATTAAGTGTGACAGAAATGACTGTTATATCTTTTCATCTTCTAGTAATCAAGCATTCAGAATAAGGGCTTTGCAATTAAACAACTTGAGTTTCAGTCCGCCCCCTACTAGCTGTGCAACCTTGGGCAAGTTATTTAACTCTATGTGATGCCACATTTTCTCACCTAAAAAATGGTTAAAATTGTATTGATCTCCTAGGGTTGATGTGAAGAACGAGACGTGCTTAGTATAGTGCCTAGCATATTATAAGTACTGAAAAGGTGTTAACAACAATTACTTTTTTAATTATTGAGTGAGGGCAGGCAAATCAAGCTTTCTAGGTTTCTGTTTCCCATATCTCTTCTTTGGGGTGTGTGTGTGTGTGTGTGTGTGTGTGTCTTCTTTTCATTCCCTCCCTCCTATGTTCTTTATTGCATGCTGCTTTCTCCAATCCTAACGTTTTCCCTACAGAAAACCCTTCTTTACTGTACTTCACAGAGAACATATAAAAACCCAAATAATGAGGTGAAGACTGACCAAAGCTTGTCTTGGGGAAGAGCGATGCATGCCAGGCCACTGCTCTTAGCAGCTCTGTGAAGACAGCTCCCTACTGAGCAGAACCCCAATGTCAAGTCAAGAACAGAGGGGGAAAGCTGAGTTTCAGTGGGATGTCTATATGTGCCCTCCTGGGATTTGGAGAGAGGAGAGAGTAATACATACTAGGTTCTGTACTGTCCTGGAGAGAGAAACCTGTATAACTCCCAAATTGGCCAAGGATGATGTATTTCCACAGATTAGCTATCCATCAGAGCAGCTGTCTTCTCCTGTGATTTTGAAATGCTTTACCCTCAAAGTGCTTCAATATACATTTTCACATAGGACTGATGGGATGAGAATGAATGAAGACATTATCTATTCACCAATTACAATGGTATTTTATGATACTTCAGAATAACAGAGATACAGCCTTATAGATTACTTGTTTCCATTATCCTTCAATATGTGATACTCCCCGCGGGGATTGACTTCCAGCAGCTATAAAGCAAATTGAATAACACTGTTGGCTCTACTGGAAGATAATCGGAAAAGTCCTAAAAACAGTGCAACTTTAAATGTAGATAGAGCAGTAAACCTCATATTGTATCACTTCATAGCTATCCTGGCTCTTTTCCTGTAAGTTTTCATTCCTCTTAATCGATGACATTTTTTTTATTCTAAAAAAAGAAAAAAGAGTAGGTTGTCAAAATATGGGCCTGTTAATTTCATGGTGCAATCTGTCTCTATAAATTGTTTTCTTTGGCCAGAAATGATATAACAATTACTGTTCCTCTTTAATATGTCACATCCAAGTCTGCCCATGGATACTTTTAAGAGCTCACGTGGACATTTTACGAGGCCAGTCTTTAATCAATATTACTTAGATTACATTGTGCCAAAGGGTTAATATGTTCCCATTAAAAAACATCTGAGCACCACAGAAATATGATTTGTGTCCAAGCCACCATGCTGTCCCTGGAAAGGGGACAATAAAAAGAAAAGCTAACATTTCCCGATGAGCTTCCTGTGTGCCAAGCGCTGCGCTGAGCCCTTACACAGATTACCTTACTCAATCTCCACTGTCAGCTAAGATCTAGACACACTATTGTTAGCCAGAGAAGACCGTGATTTAGAGTTTAATAACTAGCTTAGTACTGTGAGCTGCAAAGTGAAAATCGGATCTAGAGCCAGGTGGCCAGGCTCCGGAGACTAGAAATAAGGACCAAGAGTAGCTTCGAGTGCAAGAACTGCTTCAAAAAACCTATTTGCTTTGAAGTTGGAAAAAGGTTTTTGTAAAGTGAGTGAGAGAAAAGAAACCAACTTTTCACCCCTGATTGCCAAGTGAAGGTTTAATGAACCTGTAGCGAGAGTTTGCGGAGGCAAAAATGCAGCACACACGACATTGTGTCGGTGCTGCGTTCCTCCCTTCCATTCCTCGGGCTGGACGGAAAACTGCTTGCTGTTCCGAGGTCGAAACACAGTCAATGCCCTAGTGAAAAAGGATAGAAAATTTAGCTGCGGAGCTAAAAGCGACACAGATATTGAGTAGCCATCGTCCACTCGGGCAGTGTGACTGAAGAGGTCTAAAATATCACACGTCATCCATTCCACTCAACTTCCCACATTGAACTTTCCCTTGATTATCTCATTAAATTATCATGTAAAGTATGAACACTTAGTAGTACAAGGTTAAATATTCTTTCGCAATCATTAACACCAAACGTGTATGCATTTTTCAGGTTAATACCCATCACCAAGACCCTAATGCAAAGTTTCCCTGTATGGAACCGGGAAGAGTTCTGGGACTAACAATAAAAGGGGGGATGGGTCTGTGAACACATAATATTTGGTAGTTTGAACAAAATTGATAAGGCTTCTTTTCATGAGAGCGTCCAGGACACATTAACAGTCCCTGTGGCATTTGCCAGACTTCCTTGACCACAGAGTCTTTTCACATACAGTGTCTTGAAGAACTACCATTGTGGGGCACACTTGGAAAACACCACCCCAAAGGAATGCTACACAGGCCAGACACATTTTGAACTGAAGTAATCAGTTTAAGAAGGTCGGTATCTTGGGGACACTGCTGGTGGATTTGAAGACTAGGGTGGGCAGAGAATGAAAGGCCTGGTGCCTGGTGAGGAAGGGAGGAGCATGAACATTACATTCTGAGGGCATTAACATCACCCTGTTCCCAGCTGCTTGGAGCCTGGGCCACCAGCCTCTGCTAAGCCTCTCTCTCCTTCTAGAACCACACATAGCTCAGGAGCATTTGTAACCACAGGCTTGGTGTCTTCCCCTTCATTCTCCACATCTCCCTGAATACTTCCTTCAGTTCCCACCACTCTGAAGGTCTCCAATTACTTCTTACTCTCTGATGGATGTGGCTTTCTCCTCCTGCCAACTCTTTTGCTTCTAGTATGTCCTGCTTCTCTTCCTGTCTCCCTGATTTTCACTCCCTATTTTCTCTTCCCTTTTTTCTTTTCCTCCTTTTAATATGGGCGTTCCTTATTGTCACTCTTCCAATCCTTCTCTCTACTCAAAAGAGCTTGTTCAGGAATTTTATAGACCACCATGAGCTCCAATCTCACTTATAAATGGCTCTTCAATCTCCCTCCATTTATAACTTTTTCCAGTGCTGAGTAGTTCTCCCTTGACAGTTGACAATTGTATACAATGCTCACAACAGCAACATATCAAAATTACAAAATTTCCATCTTCCCTCCACATCAGCCCCCCTTAAATTCCCTATTTTGGTTAATAGACCAGAATCCCAGCCTCTTTCATGTCTTTCTCTTTCTCAATCAGATCAAATACTCAGATTCTACCTTTGCAAGGTGTTATATATTTTATCTCTTCTTTTTTACTTGAATGGCCAGTGACAACTTCCAGGTTCAGGCTCACTACCTCATGGTTGAATAACTATAACACCCTCCTACCCAATTTCACTGCCTCTTGTCTACCCATCTGTGGTACACTCTTCATCCTGTTACTAGATTATTCATTCCATTTCACGGAGATCTTAATATGCATTTATTCTGCACACACTCCTTGTTTTCTCTGTAGAATTCTCTATTCTGCAGGAAATAGAGCCATGAGCATAAAATGACTAAAATGCAGGAAAATGTGGTAAATGCCAAGGAAGTACTGACCAACTGCCATGGAATTCCAGGTGTAGAATCACAGAAGGCTGCACTGAGGGGTCGTGTTGGAGCTGGGCCATAATAGAGGAGTAGGATTCAGAAGAGGGAGGCATTCTACGCAGAATGAGGAAATACCATGAGCAAAGCAAGGCTCACGTTCTGTTGAAAAACATTTACTAATTTTCTGTTTCCTACATGAAAAAATCAAATATGTGGGCCTTTTATTAAAAACCCAATAATATTTGGGTCCAAGCAACTTTTTTTTAGAATAATTTCTCTCTATTCTTCTATTGTTGCTTTTTTAAAGTAAAATGTGAATGTCCAACCAAATATTTGACAGAGCTGCTGGGAGCCACAGGGTAAATACAGCACACCTTCCTATGTGTTCATTTTACTCAAAAAGTTTTGGTGAAAATATTTTTGACATTAAAATAAAGATAGATGCCCTGGCTTGTTTTGCTCAGAGGTTAGAGCATCGGCCCACGGACCAGAGAGTCCCGGGTTTGGTTCCTGCTAAGGGCACGTACCTCGGTTGCAGTTTGTCCTCGGCCCCAGTTGGGGTCATGTGGGTGGCAGCCACTCGGTGTGTCTCCTTTGCATTGATGTTTCTCTCTCTCTTTCTCCTTCTCCCCCCACCCTACTCTATCTGAAGATAAATGCAAAAAATAAAATAAAATAAAATGTTCTCAGGTGAGGATAAAAAAATAAATAAGGATAGATAAACTGATATAATAAAATACAAATTTCACCTAGATTTTAAAGACAGCATATAAGGTTTCAAATGTCTTGCTGGCAGGAGCTGTTTCAAACTGTTAGGAGTGTTCAGGGGCTAAGGTTCCAGAGCACACCTTCTTGGCCAACCCAAACCATATTCTTTTTTGTTGTTGTTGTTGTTGTTTTTTTTTTTTTATCCTCACCCAAGGACATTTTTTGATATTTTGTTCAGATTGAGTGAGAGGGAGAGAGAGAGAGAGAAACATCGACGTGAAAGGGACACATCGAGTGGCTGCCACCCACACGACCAACCAGAGCCAGGGACAAACTGCAACCGAGGTACGTGCCCTTAGCAGGAACCAAACCAGGGTCTCTCCGGACCTCAGGCCGACGCTCTAACCGCTGAGCCAAACTGGCCAGGGCCCAAACCATATTCTTATTGCTCCCCTCTACGCACCTTTCTTGTTGTCTCAGCACCCTTTACACTTCTAGCTGCTGGGTTCACTCCTGGCGTTCTCTTCCACCCACTATGAACTTCCTCCCACACACCGGCCACATCTACTTATCCATACGCCTGTTGTCCAAGACCTGCTTGTCCTGGTAGACTTCCTTAATAACTAGAGTTGAAAGAAATAGCTTCTTCTTCTGACGTGTTACTTGTTCGCATTTTACTTGCATTCAATAAATATTACGCAGTCTTCACCCCTCCACTAGATTGTAAGCTCTCAGAAGCCAGGAATCTTGTCTTATTCTGTAGCCCCACAGTCACAAGCATAGTGTCCTACACAGTGAGTGCTCAATATTTGTCAAATGAATGAATGAAAAGTTCTCTGCTCAGATATTGCCTCCTCAAGTAAGTCTTCTCTGACCAGCCTGAAGACTCTACCTTGAGTCTCTTGTCCCAATTATAATCTCATGATAGCTTTATATATATAGTTTTCTCTTAAGCTATTGGTAAGTTTGATTAAAGAGAGTTCCACCTGGGAATGGAGAAGGTGAGGGGGAGCGAGAGGGAAGAGGTCATTCCTCTACCTCTCTATTATCTTGCAGCTAAAATTTAATGTCAAATGCCTTTTCCCTGAGATACCCACATTAACTACATACATTTAGGAGTAACACTCAAATGCACAAAATACTTTTCATAAGATGGTGCAAAAAGTAGCACTTCTGATATTTGACCTTGTGTGTCAAAATCTCAAGAAACTAATTAGCTGCCACCTTCCCCTTAAAACCCAACCTGAAATGACAGGAATCCTTAAAATACCTTCAGCATCCACACTGCATTTCTTACTTTGTCCATTTTAAAGATAACTTTTTAAAGTTTGTACTTTTGCCAAGAGTAAAATTAAAGTACAGAATAAGCCAATTTTAAAGCCATTTCAGGAATCTGGATTTGTTCTTTTTGACACTGAAGGACTTGACTGGCTCCATTTCACAACTCACGTTTGAAATCCCGAGAGCCTGCCACCGAGTCATTGTGTCATCCTGTGAAGATGATCATATCGCTAATTCAGAATTTAGACATAATGACCCATTCTGTGAGAACAAAAGTAGTTATCCTGTCAAGTGCAGAAAAATACAAAAACATGTTTTAAAAAACAACCTCTTTTAGGATGAATGAGTTAGGAAAATAGCTTTTACTAAAACTTATTATGTAAAAATTGTCATGGAAGAAACAAAAGAACACAATCAACTATTTATTCCCATCGAGGTTGGTTGTTTGTGTGTTGTTAGTTCTATTATCATAAGAACTTATCTACTGACTTTTAAGCTAAAAAGGGGTATCGCAAAGGCAGAAAACTGGTTCACTCTCTATCAGATTATTTTTATCCTTTTCCCTAAAATTTGTGGAGTCAAATTTTAACCAAAATTAGGTTTAGGGGTTTATTTGTGAATTTCAAACATACCTGCCTCCTCCTGACCTCTAACATGGTAATTCAGAATAAGACACAACTTTGGAAGTTTTCATTCTGATTCTTATCTTAATAATAGAAACCAGTTGACTCATAGGATTATAGTTTCCTACTAAGGCAATCATTAAGAATTTGATTTTAAATCATTAATCTCTTCATTTAACAACACTTTTAGAAATCAAATGACATCAACAGCTATTTATTGAGCACCTACTATTTTGTAAAACTCTGTGAATGATGCTACTATCAATAATATTTTCAAAATTATTTGAAATTATGTAAAAGATTCTCTTTTTTAGTATTTGTATAGGTCTGGGTACTTTACAGAGATAAAACCTTCATAAACAGCTATCTCAACTTTAACAGAAAGAATAGAAATAAAGTAGAAGAAACTAAGAGTCTGAGTCTATTTTTATGGAGAGTTGTTAAGTATAGAATCAGAATTTTAAGGCAGAAAAAACACTAAACTAGTATGATTATTTATTTGATTTTACCATTACATACATATTACTTGACTACTTTAAACAAACGCAAAGATAATTGATCATTAACTTACCAAAATGAAAATGGCCTGGTATTTAACCAGGTTTTTTGGTGTGCTTTTTTTATTGACCCTATGTCTCTAAATCATATTTTGCCTAAAATGATCAGGAACACATATCTACAAGTTCTGAATCTGGGGCTTCTTTTTTCTGACATAAATATTTGCTATGCAGTTGACATGGGCCCTCCCATTCATGTTTCCTCAGGATAATTCCGCAGTGGCGTTCACCACATCTTGCCTTGTATGTGTTGACTCCTCAATTAGAATGTGATGCCATCGAAAACACCAATCACGCTTCTTCACTTCATTCCATCATAGTTCCTAACTCAATGCTTTCCCCTAGGTGCAGTTCGAAAATGTTTGTGGGCATGAAAGGGGAAAAATAATGATAAGCTAGAACTTTAAGGTGTTGTTAAGTTGATATCACATTTTTATGTGCTTCTTCAAATGCACAGAAATGATTCATTAGCTTTGATTGATATGACAATCTATTCAATCAAATAATTTATTTTAAAAATATGGTTGCTTTCCCATGATTTAATGACTTCATCTGGAACTCAGAAATAATGTAAACAGCATGGACTTTGGCATCAGCTTCTAACTGAACTGCCTATTAGCTCTGGAAATTTGGCCAGGCTACCCAACCTCTTCAAGCTATGTTTCCTTTCTTGTAAAAGAGGGGTGATAATACTTAGATTTTGCATTTATTGTGATGAGAGAATAGATCTGAATATCAACTCTGCAGTCCTCTTATTCAGAGTGTAACTAATGGATAATTAATCCTGCCATTCTGATTCCCTGTCTAGTCAATGCACATTTATTTAACTACTATCATTGAGCATCTAATAAGTACCAGGCACTATATATGTAAGCTTATTAGATACTCAGTCATATATATATTCCTATGTTAGATAAAGTGTAGGAGGCTAGAAAGCACAAAGACAAAAGGGAGGCATATTTGTGTGTGTTTTTAAATATGTTTTTATTGATTTTTTTTTTAGAGAGAGAGGAAGGGAGAGGGAGAAAAAGATAAAAATATCAATGAGAGACATTGATCGGCTGCTTCCTGTACACCCCCTGCTGGGGATCAAGCCCACAATTTGGGTATGTGCCCTGACCGGGAATCGAACCAGTGACCTCTTGGTGCGTCCGAGATGCTCAACCACTGAGCCACACCAGCTGGGCAAAAGGAGGCATATTTCAACCCTGGGAATAAAGAGGTCCTGGTGGGGAAGATATGTGTATGAGACTTGAAACAGGAATAAACAGAGCTGGGTGGTTTGGCTCAGCAGATAAAGGTTCGCCTGTGGACCAATGAGTCTCAGGTTTAATTATGGTCAAGGGCACCTATCTCGGTTGCAGTTTGTCCCCAGCCCTCGTCCGTCACGCGGGAGGGAACCAGTCGATGTGTCTCTCTCACATCAGTGTTCCTCCCTCCACCACCCCCTTCCACTCTATCTGATGATAAATAAAAAAAAATATTCTTGAGTGAAGATTGAAAAAAAAAAAGAAAGAAACAGGAAAAAACATTAGCTACATGCAAAAAATGCTTGACAAGGGGAGAGAATAAAGGCAGGGGTATGAAACAGTGAGTGTATGGGTACACCCTGACAGCGGGTTGCTCCTGGAGCTTAGAATGTACATCAGAATGAGTGAGAATGAATCTAAGAATAGGTCCAAGCCGGAGGGAACTTCACTTTATTATGTAGACACTCTGAAAGGTGTCAAACAAAGAAGTGACATCGATAGAATGCAGTGTAGAAAGAAATCCTTGTAGCTCAAATGTGCAGTAACTATTTAAGAGGTAAAAGGTGGACATTACTTGAGGGAAGGACAAATTAGAAAGCTGTGACATTCATGTATGTGGAAATGACGCTCTGAATCACACAGTTGTAGTAGTGATAACAGGTTTGAGAAATATTTGGAATATAAAATAGATCAAGCTTAGTGACTATTTGGTGGTGAAGTTGAATGAGAAGGTAGATGTCCAAGTCTCTGGCTGTTAACTGAGGCTCTGAATGTAAGAGAAGAAGCAGATTTTGGAGAGGAGAATAAATAACGTATTCAGTTTAGAATGTGTTGCATTTGGGATTGCAGTCAGACATACCCGGCAAGCAAGCAGATGCATGAGTTTAGAGAGGTAAAAGCTAAAGACGGAGATTTGAGAGATCTATAAAATATTGCATACCTTCCAAGATGAAGCTAAGGATTAAATTAGATCATATATGTCAAATGCTGAGTGCTACAAAGCTCTATGGAGAAAATTAATGAGATGGTATGTTTATCTACTTAACTAAATAAGTGGAATTCTTATTGCATCCTGAGAAAAATAAATAAGCCCATCTCTTTATTTAGACAGAGCCTGAAGTTGGAGCTTCAACTTAACAGTTTCTTCTAGGTCTTAAAGAAAATTTAGTAAGTTTACTACCAATATCTTTTTTTTTTTTACTCTAGTTACTAAACTATTAAGGAATTTGCTTCACGAATCATCCTTCCCCAGCTATAACCAAACAGCTGACCTATCCTCTTGCCCTTTTCATTAAATGTCTTGTGGTTAACACACACACACACAAAAAGCCCTTGCAAAGATCCTCCAAAATCCATTCCAACATAACGCTTCTGACCTAGGAAATATGATTTTTATTTATTTTAAATTTTTTTCCTATATTGATTTCAGAGAGAGAGGAAGGGAGAGGGAGAGAGAGATAGAGACATCAATGAGCGAGAACATCTATTGGCCGCCTCTTGTCTGCCCCCCACTGGGGATCAGGCCTACAACCTGGGCATGTGCCCTGATGGGAAATCAAACTGGCAATCTCTTGGTGCATGGATTGAGGCTCAACTGCTGAGCCATACCAGCTGGACCAAAATATAATTTTTAAATCTAACAATAGATACTGAAATGATATCATTGAAAATGCCTTCCTTAACTTTCAATTCCAACTGAGGGATCCAAGTCTTGACAACCTTGCAGAAGATGGAAAAGATGAAGAAAGATGGGAGGGTGATAACTTTCCTCCTCTCATTTCCATCTTCCCAAGCTTCCTCCCCAAGGTCACAGAAAAATCACCTACCAATATAGACCAGGGTATTCCTTTAAACCACTTTTAGATGACTCTATACATCTCATCTTTTAAATTTTTCCTCTGTAAGCAATAAAAACAAAATCTTATGATGTTAATGTCTATGGAGATCTACAAAAGCAGGACGGGGGTGGGAACAGGGAGGAGGGGGTCAATGGGGGAACAGGGGAACACATCTGTAATACTTTCAACAAAAAAGTAAAAGGATGGAAAAAATAACTGTGAGTTATAAGAGAATATAATAATTCAGGGGAAAAAAGAAAACAGTATCTCTAAAGTTTTAAATTACACTGATTAATTTTTAAAATTCTTTTCTGTTATGTTCAAAATTTAAATTGGATCAGCTGAATAGTACACCTCTACCTTGCCATGATATTAGGGAATTAAATCGTATTCATTGCTGCAACCTAATTATAGAGATCATTAGGCCATATTCTGTTGGCATGGTTATGAGTTGTTGATGGATCATGTTTGCTCCTAGGGATGTGAAGAAGCCTTGTCTTTCAGTGTTGAGGATGATTGAATTCGTTCTTCATATCAAGTAGAATAATCTGGACGCTATTTCTTTCCTTACAGTCAAGCTTCCCCTGAAATCCACACTGTGTGTGGCACATGCTCTCCAGCCTGCCTATGCACATTGGCATTAGAAGAACAGCCTTCCACATGACTGCTAAAGATCCCCATGTATACATTGATAGATTTCCAGGTATAAAATCTGCTTAATCCTTGCTCCAAACCCTTAAGATCATAATTCTACAGTGAATAATGGTGGGCAAATTACCTATTAGTGCAATATTTTGTGAAATGGTGAATTTATGGACAATATATTCTCAAAACATAATACTTTAATTTTCCTAGTGCTTATACAGTGCCATAGAAAAGACCCTGTTTATGATCCCTTAGTTCTCCCAGGAAAAAGGGGGAAGAAAAGTAATTTTTGCTGTAATGAATGGAAGAACAGCTCCCGGAGAACAGTAAGTGGGCTGTGAAAGGCCTCTCCCTGCACCGAGATGAAGGAGGTATGAACACAGAATTCAGTGGGCTATTTCCCTCTTGTGCTGTAATTTAAAATAAGCAATGAGAGAAGAAGGAATGAGCTCCTTTTACGGTTGAGAGAATGTAATTTACACATTAAGAATTTATTGCCTATAAAATTTGGGAAACTTTTGGAGTTAATACTCAGGAAGTAGTATTATGTCCCTACCTGGAATGGTTAAAGAAAAAGACAGATTCCCAAAGCCAGGAGAAAGGCCTATAACAATTCTCAAAGCTGCTCAAGCCGCATGATCCTAAAATATTGTAGTCACGAAGCATTCAGTCAATGCCAAACAGGTTTACTCACCTAGGTCACCAGAAAGGTAATGACTTGGAATCAGTCAGGATTTCTATGTTCTTTTTTTCTCTTAGATTTTGATTCAAATAAGAACATTCTCTGTTTACCTTCCTATAGTTTTGTGTGAAGCTCATCTTACCTGTCCCAGCCTGTAACCAGTATTGTCGTCTTAAGAACCAGGATCTGTGAAATATTCACAGTTCCCTCTTGCCCAACATTCAGTGTGTGGTGACAATATCCATTGAAGTCCCATACCTTTAAGAGAAAAGTGAAAATCACCTTTGAGACAAGAAGAGAACATGTCGTCCTCACTGAGTAAAACAGCATGGTGTAATAAAATTATTCTAAACGTTTGTGTTTTCATTCTGGACTAGGGTTGATTCACTCAGGATATGTAAGAATTAAAGAAAATTCTCTTATCATTTAAATTTAACCATCATACGTATGACTCTATGTGTAACCATATCAGCCTATTCTGATAATACTTGATTCAAAGGCTAAGAAACTCATGCTTATTTTTAAGGGGGTGGCAAATTAATATCATAAGGAGCCACATTGTGGGGTCTTGAAATTCTGCTTCTTGCTCTGAGGTGTCTCCCTAAAATTTGGTTTTCACATATATGACACAGGAACCTTATTCCTCATGGATACTTGGAACTTTAAACATCTAATACAGAGCTGGAAACACAGTGATCATAGTACTAGACTTTCCATCATCTGCCCACAAAACCTGTCATTGATAGTGGATGCTAGAAGCCAGTCCTACAGGGGCACCAGCAATTTTAGTTTACCCGCTCGGGCATCGGTGAGGACAAAGACCCAATGGATATACTTTATGAGGGAATGTCATCAAGTCACCAGCTGTTAACATTATGCCTTAATTATGCAATGAGACATTGTTGGCACCTCATGCACAAAGGGCAAGTTGGCATTCTATCGAACTTAAAATGCATATACACCCTTTGACTCAAAAATTCAACTTCTATAACATTATTACACAGAGACACTCAAATGTGTGAAAGGGCCTAATTTGGAGAATATTCTTGAAACATTGTTTATAAAAGCCAAGGATTTTAATCAATTTAGTGGTTCATTAGTAGGAGACCGAGCATCAGAATATGGAATATTTATACAACAGCATATAATGTAGCCATCAAGAAGAATGAGTCACCTCCATGTGTCTAAGCTCTACCAAAATAAACCAACAACTTGAAGCAAGTTGCTTTGTGTCCTTGAGCTTCAGTTTCTCCATCTGTAAAACTGAGATGATAACAGCACCAACAATATCGATGCGTGCATGTAAAGTGCGAGGCAAGTTCCTGGTTCATAGTAAGCAGGCAACAAATGTTAGCTAAAATTATGATTATTGTTTACAACCATAGGGATCAATGTCTAAGACGGGAGAATACAAAATGCAACAGCCTGGACAGTGAGCTGCCATGGAGAAACGGTACTCACAGGCTAAAACGCAGGCAGAAGTATATGTTAACCGTGGCAGCCACAAGTATGGAGCTGGGGAGAGGGGTGAGAAAGAGACTTTCTTTTCACTTTATATCTATTTTATATTTTAAATTGTGTTCTAGGCACACATTAATGATTCAAAACAATTTAAAAATAGAAACGTCAAAACCTTGATAAACAGGGCAATACTTTAAAGTCTTTGATTACAGAGGTATTGTTTTAGATGCTAAGTGATAAATGAGATTGGAAAATGGCCTTCATTCCTGTTTCTTCATAGAGTATGGCCAGTGTAGCTCAACCCTGATTTATGTGTCCTATGCAGAAGTTACCAAAATTTCAGAATTGTGTTGTGCTGTTGTGATAAAGATAAATGTACCTTCGAAAGCTGGGATTATACTACTAAATTCACATTAACTTCCAAGATGTCAAGGCTTGAGCCGACACAGAGCCGTGCACATCCCACCTGTGTCACTTTGGGTTGTTCTGCACACAGCGCTGACCCAAGCCCACCTAAAAGCATAACACAGATCGGTACCGTAAAGATCTGCCTTCCCCCGATCTGTCAAATCCCTTCGCTGGGACCAGTTTAGTACCATCTACAAGTCTGCCCTACCCTGGATGGTTACTTTCCAAAATAGGGGAACGGGAGCCTAATCTACGTCCTTTATTTTTCAGTTCTGTCTTATACCCCAGGACTACGAGGGGGAATACTTGCTGGTTCCTTTGCCTAAGCCACTGTCTGACACTCCACTTCCAGCTATTCCGATTTTATTCCACCTTGATTTAGGATTGGAATTACCCCAGTACCTTCGCACATTGTACCAGTCAGTCCTCCCATGAATGAGATTCCTTTGCTTAACCCGAAGCTCCTAGTCCATACTTTATCCATTAACCTTCCCAGAGGCCAGGTTCTGCCAGTTTACAGAGATTCTCACCATAACATCCAGAGCTCCTCCCACCTTCTGACCATTACCAGCCCGAAATCCCCCGGCATACTTGCCCCAACTTCCATGACATTATTATACCGATATATCCAGAGAGCTTTCCCTTACCCTGTCCTGAAGCTCACCTGTGTACCACACATCCTAGCACGTCAGCTACATCTAATTAACGCTCTTATGACTCCAGATATGACAGAAGTTTGAAAACCATTTAAAGCTTATTCAGAAAACTTCCTTCTGTTGCCGCAAAGTGTCACAAGTCATCGCCAATCAAACACTGTCATTACTCTCAGAGCTGGGGGGAGCGAGGAAGATTCACTGATGGGCATGATTTCAGATTGTATCTAGCTTTGCATGAAAATTTGATCACTTTCTGCAAAGTAAAACAGCACCTTCCTCCCAGAAGAAATTTATAATAGTTACAAATGTTTTTTAAAAACTGAAAGCATAGAATCATGTTAGTTTAAGATGAATAATAAATAAGATTATGATGGTTCTTCCTTCTTTCTTCATTGTCTCACCTTTACATAAAAATGCAAATTACAAAATGGGATGGTTGTAAAATATTAATTTTCTGGAAAACTTGGCATCTGTGCCATTTTGAAAAGTTTACTTACTTGCCCTGATTTCTCATGTTATAAATCAAGGAAAAGAAAACTAGAGACATTAGCCGAAGCACATGAAAATTATTCAGGCCTCTTATTCCCCAAAGGAGTCCTCTCTCCAGAACACTGGAAAACGCTCTCTGAAATAAGTAAGCCGAGTTATGCTTTTATTCTAAATTATTTATTCATAAAAAGCATTTATTCGTTTTTCCCACAGTTTTATTTTCTTAACAGCTTTATCATTAGATAGTTTGGGTTATTTAGCTCTTCTTACGTTGTCTCATCCCTCTCCTTGCAAGGCCAAAAAGGCACAAATTAATATAGTCAAAGCTGTGCCTCCTCTCCCGGGGTTCTAGCCGCCTCTTGTCTGGATGGAGAAGCATCACTGTGTTCCCACCTTGAGAGTCCCATCTGTGCTGCCAGTCAAAAGCCGCGTCTCATTTGCATTAAGGGCCATGGTGCTGATTTCTGCATTTCCATGGCAACCAGTAAATTGTTTGATTTTCTGCCCAGTGTCTATCATCCAGAAAGAAACAGTTGACCCCACATCAGAGCTGATTACCTACGAGAAAATAACATTGTAAAGAAATTAAATATAGTCCCAGAATCCACCATTTTGATTTCAAGAAAAATATCTCCCCTGTGCATTTTCCCTCCTGGAATCCCCCCAAGAGTTAGAGACTTTTTGTAATATATTTTCTTTCTGTTGGTGCTGATAACATTTTAATTTCTAGGCCAAAACTGAGGTAATAAAGTCATGATTCTCTTTATGAGAAAAGATAGGAATCTACGTCTCCTACCCACCATTCCGCTTAATGTCTAGAGGCCATCCTGATATCAAACCCTACCAAAAATAAACTTATAAATCTCTTGCATTTAAATGAGAAAGCTGCTTTTATTAGTCATGGTGATCTGACACTATTTGCTAGATGAAAAGACACATTTTATTATATATCAGTTTCCATTTAGCATTCAGAAAAGAAAGCACTACTAGCCATTATGGGGAAAAGTTAATCTCAACAAATTGCTAGAGCTATTGCTTTTAATGCCATTAGCCCCTTTCTTCCTCCTTTCTCAAGGTACTGTGTATATTTTTACAGCGAACCACTATTATTGATGGGTCACTAAAAAGAAAGAACACAGGAAGGTTAGATATAAATCTGCATATACACTCCAAGAGAAAGGCAACAAAATAAATGCAAGTAGGGATAGAATTACATGTAGTAGTTCACCAGTGAGAAATCTTAAGTGGCAAGTAGACGACTAATTTCAGCTCTAAGCATTGAAGCACCCTCTAAGAGATTTATGGGTTAAAACTATCTCACCATAAGGACTTTAGGACCCAAAGGATGTAAAAAAGAAAAAAATCACTAACCATACAAATGTATAGATAAAAAGTTGCCTGAAGCAACATTTACTTTGAGAAAACTTAATGCATGTCTTTATCTGCTTAAGTATTGATTACCATTATAGAAATGTAAATTTACTTGAAATACGTTAAATTTGAGTGTCACATTTTCATAATTGTGTTAAAGTTTATCAAATGTATACTCAGAAGACCCGGAGAGCTGGCCATCATGCCTGGACACACACTGAACACCCAGCCCACGCCCAGCTCTATGACGGCAGCAGGCTCACGATGAATCCCTGCTCTCAGGGAGTCTGTAGTCTAGGCCTGACAGTGAAAATCACCAGAGAAACTTTGTAAACCGCAACTGCATACCAGGCCAGAGATTTAATTGGACCAAGGAGGGGCATTTTTAAAAGTGCTTCCCAGGTTACTTAAGTGTGTAACCTGCGTTAAGAACACTTGTCTAGATAGAGAAACAGACAAGAATCAGAAAATATCAAATAAGGCTACAAGTTTAGAGGTATCACCGTGGGGACACAGAAAGGAAACCCAAAATCCACTCACTGGGCGGGAAATGGGGAATTGAAGGTGAAGACGGTCAACCTGGGATTGAAGATAGGAACATGTATTTACTGAGTGCCATGCCCTTTATATTCACTATCCCATTTGATCTTTATAAAAACGCTATAAAATAATAAATGTTATCACCCTCATTTACCAGTGATGAAACTGAGATTCTAATTAGCTAGGTACTGTTGCAAGCTTATAGAATGAGGTTTGAATCATGGGCTGCCTGGAACAGACACATCATAAGGCTTTCCTCTATTCCAGCATAGTATTCCAGACAGTCAAGAGTATGCTTAGAAGAGAGAACATAAAGAATATTCCAAGCATGAGAAATAAGAAATGTAGTGGAACCAGGGTACAGACGATGGGATAAATGGTTGAATATCAGGTAAGGAAGCAAGTTGGTGGTGGATATGTAAAATCCCTTGCAAGCTAAGCCAGAGAATAATGTCTAATGTATATAAAGTTCTTTTTACTTGGAAATGGTCTATAGCTTTCATTGGATTGTCAGTAGGGCATATGACTCAAAATAAAATTAAGAGCAGTCTGGCAGGTGTGGCTCAGTGGATTGAGTGTTGTCCCTTGGACTGAGAGGTCCTGGGTCCATTCCCGGTCAGGGCACGTGCCCAGGTTGCAGGGTCGACCCCCATTAGGGGGCGTGCAGGAGGCAGCCAATCCATATTTCTCTCTTACATTGATATTTTTCTCTCTCTCTCTCTAAAAAATCAGTAATTTTTTTTTAAAAAAATTAAGAATAATCCCATTGTTCTTAATAAGGAGGAGTGTCATATGGCACTTTTTGTTGGTTGGTTTGTGAAGATACCTTTGGCAACAGAGCAGAGAACAAAGAGGAGCCTACTGTAACAGTCCAGGTAAGAGATGCTCACCAAAGACAATTTTGGAGGTAAAAAGGAGACAAGCAACTGGGAAAAGAGGACCACCACTAAGCAACATTCATGTCTCAGCAAAGAAATAACCACGAGCACATAACCTCTCATAGCCTTTTTTCCTGACATTACAACTCTGAATCATATAATTTCTCAAATGATTTAATTTTATTTATTTATTTATTTTTAATCCTCACCCGAGGATATTTTCCCATTTATCTTCAGATAGAGTAGGAGAGAGGGAGGAAAAGAGAGAGAGAGAGAAACATCAATGTGAGAGAGACACGTCGCCTGGTTTCCTCCTGCACGACCCTAACCAGGGCTGGGGACAACTGGAACCAAGGTACTACCCTTGGCCGATTCTGCAGGCCAACACTCTAAGTAAGCGCTGAGCCCAACTGGCCAGGGCACATGATGTAATTTTAATTACCATTGTTAAACAATAGTGTAATTTCCAGGACAAATGACCTGGATGTTTGAAATAGTGTGACCTAACATTTTAATGATCATTCCAAGTAACTGTGTTTCTTTTTGCTTTGGTTTGTGCACTATGTATGGTGGCTAAGAGCCCTGGGCCAGGAGCCAGGGAGCCTGAGTTTGCATGTCAGTTGTCTGACCTTGGCTCATTACTTAACCTCTCTAAACTCTAGTTTCCTCTCCTGTAAACTAGGGAGGATCGTAGTAACTACCTCAAACTGTTTTTAAGAGGTATAAATAAGGTAATATTTGCAAAACACAGTTTGTAATATAAAGTAAATAAGCCATGAAAATTAGCTAGTATTACTATTCATTTAAGCTTTATTTGCCTGACCTTTTATTTGGGCTGATATCAGTTTTTATATCCAAATCAATGTAACAAAAACATTTCATATGTTGCTTTATTCCCACCATGACAGGGAATATAGACAATTACAATTTTAGAAACCAGATATGTAGATGTACATTAAGATGTCAAATTATATCTTACTTGTAAATTTTTCTCATACTGCAATGCTTAGAAATTTGGACTGTATTCATTAGAGACAAAACCATGAAAACAATTTTCTAAGCATGAGAAAATTTTGATTGTGGTCTTTCAAGAAGAGGTTGAAGGTTGTAAAGAATTGTATTATTTCTTTTCAAAAAGCAATCATTGAGCACCTATTACATGCTGAACAGTTCAGTCCTAAAAGATGGGCATTGTTTGATAGAAATTAAAAGATTAAATAAAATAAGGTTATATTCGGAGGAAGAATGTGCTTACTTGTTCAAGGCTGGCTCCAGCCGCATTACAAAGCACCTGGTCGTCCACCCCACCACTTCTATTTAATGGAGACATTCAATCAAGAATTAATAAAGTCACTTTTCGCTGCTTTGTACTCTCCTTCCTCTGCCCACCTTCCTGAGCTCCAACATACTATTTATCAATTTTCAGCACCTTTCTGTGCTCATTTAACAATTTCTCATGATATCTGAATCAATAATGGCAAGAGTATATAGTCAAATTTAATTTTATGGCACTCTGCCTTAAGGAACAGGCTATCCAAAAACAGTGTGTTGAAAACAAGGGCTGACTATGTCACAACATACAACCAGTGTTGACCAGAATCCACTGTCACTATGACAATGTCAGAATACAAGAATAGCAAAGCAGGTGAAAAGACTTTCCAAGTTGAGTGAGAAAGGAGTGCATTTAACATCACTTGGCAGATGAAGGAAGTGGTTTGACTGCCAAACAGAAGGGCCTTTATTTTTAGCAAGTGGCTTTGATTGGTAATAAAACTCAGGATGAAGTATTGGCATTACATTCATTTGCCACATTTTGATGACATCACATCTCTTTAAGTGTTCACTTTATTCCTGGCTGCTGCTCATCAGGTGAGACATCAGCCATGTGGGCAGCGCCCTGGCAGCTTGCAGAGCAGAAACGGGCCAGTTTCTATAACTACTCCCCAGTGCATTGGGCCTCGGAGCAAATCGTTGTTCTGATGGGAGCACACTCCTGTTCTATACCTGAGTTAATAACCGTGTAGGAATGCATGGGTCTGTTTATCTCTCTCATCTGAGGCTATCACAGCCAATCAGACAATACTAAGAGATGTGACACTGTACTCATGTCCCCTAATTGTCTCCTTGCTATTCCAACAACAGTAGGCATTTTAGCTGTCTTTCATGTATATCCTGTCTTAGGTCTAAGCAAGAAGAAGAATAAAAAACTACAGCAGCGGATGTCGCTGGCTACCAAGGGATCAGGACATTTGATTTAATTGCTGTTTTATAATACTTTTTTAGGCAGTGCTGTTTATAGTCTCACAATATAAAGCAGGTTATGTCCTTTATTTCTATTTTGCACCAAATCTCTGAAGTTATATCTAGTAAGTAGCAAGGTGAGGAGAATGATAATATCTCAGAATACTGATATTGACAAAGGATTCAAATATTTTAAGGCAGTCATTGTCCATTTATAAATCTTATTAATTGGATATCACCTCTTCTTAGATTAATTTGTAATTCATTTCTGAAATGTATGGAACACCTGTGGTACCCAAGGCACAGGATCTAGGCGTTGGAGAGACAGCAGTGAAAAATACCTGCCCTTCTCGCTAGTGGGGGGAGTGGAGGAGGGATGCAACTGAAAGGGTTAGTAATGTTTTAGAGGGTAAAGGTAAAAGCTTGCAAAAAGCAGAAACTGAAAAATTGTGTTGCTTGCTTGACCTTTGCTCAGCCTTCTGTTGAGTATGGATAAGGATTATCTGAATCATCCACAAGACAATGAGT